CCCGCTTATGGATAGTGGTCTCTTTCCATCTGCTCAACCTAAGAGGTCATTTGTTCTTTACAAACGTTCCAAAACAATTTTGTTAGTTCAAAATTGTTCGCATGTGTTCAGATTACTCCGATCAATATTGCAAGGTACTGCACCTATATGGACTCCACAAAACAACTTATGCGCTGTGATCGCGCCGCTTCATCGACGTGTTCACTTTGGTAAGTTCACCGGCTGGTCGACCACAGCCAAGCCCGTAGCGCTTTATCGAGAGGTAGAAAGCACGGCGCAAATAGCGATTATTCATTGGATGCCATGGGTCATCAATAAACATTTCAGACATCGCTATAAGCTGCATCTTGCTGGGAATCCCGGTTGTACTCGTCGATGTGCAAAAGCTAGACAAGTTCGTGCGATCAACTCGAAATCATGGTGTAAGTCGTTCTATGTCGTGTTCCTCTCCTACATATTCTTCCTTTTGTTATCATGAGCCATATAAGAAAGGCAGACGTGGTTGTTGAAGGGATAGGTGGGGTCTTTTTTAAGACGCGCCCCACGGTCGAACTGGTATGGCACGAAAAGTGAGAGCATTGGTGCGAAGTGAGCGGATAGTAAAGAAAGATGGAAAGGAATTCGACGAAAACGCTTAGATTGAGGGAATCAGCACATCTGTGCTGAGGCAATGACAGACTGACCATGAGCATGGAGAGGAGAGCCTAGGCGAGAAAACACAGCGGATTAGAGGGGGCAGACATCATGCTCGCGACAAGAAAAAATGGAAGCGGTCGAAGCTGAAGTCTTTGGAAGGCTCTTTTGCTACGCACAGTAAAGCCGGGATTCGTACAGACCGCAGCACACCGCCTGCGCCCTCTTGCGTGTAACGTGCTCTCTCGCGTTTTCCCTCTCCTCGCAGCGGTGTGTCTCTCCTTCGTAGAAGGACGCAAGGAAAATTTCAGCGTTTTCTATGATGCCTTTTGCTCCCCCCCCCCCAAGTAGTCATCCTTTTTGCACTTCTTGCCTACTTTTTGCACTTTTTGTCTAATTTCCGAACAAAATAGCATACCAATTCGATTGCGGTCTGGGCCTTCAAATAATCGAGCAATGTGCCCTCAAACCCTGCCCTTTTTTGAGCTGTTCGAAAGGCAACATGAATTGTTCGTTGCATAATAAATTGAACTCAAGGAAAGGTAGAGTATTAGACAGACAAACGTAGTAATCGATTAGAATTCACAAACCGTTATCCATTTCAGATAGATTTTGTATCGATTGATGAGCCCACGTTAATTGCACTTCAC